AAAAAAAAAAAATGGTTTAGGCCTTATTTTTAATTTGTTTAACCTACCAGTTCTAACTCTGGTAGTAAAATTAGCAAATAACCTTTGCCTACTATATTGTTTTTTGCCTTAGGAGATATATTCAAATACTTATTTTAAGAGCAAAACATGTATCTGCTAATTTTTATTTTTCTACACAAATGTGCCTAGAACTCTCTTGTTTACAATTGCAGCCACTCCTCACTTGGGGCTTTTGAGCAGTTTCAGTGACTAGTCCAAATTGATTTAGATGTGATATACATTTAAAATATATGCCAGGTTTCAAAGGCTCCATATGAAAAAATAATTTGAAGGCTGGGTGCGGTGGCTCATGCCTATAATTCCAGCACCCTGGGAGACTGAAGCAAGTAGATTGTCTGGGCTCAGGATTTCGAGACCAGCCTGAGCAAGAGCGAGACCCCATCTCTAAAAAGTAGCTGGGCATTGTGGTGGACGCCTCTAGTCCCAGCTGCTTGGGAGGCTTGTGGCAAGAGGATCTTCTGAGCCCACTAGTTTGAGGTTGCCATGAGGTATGACACTATTGCACTCTACAGAGGGTGACAAAGTAACAGTTTCAGAAAAATTTTTTGAAACATCTTATTGGTTACATGTTGAAGTGGTATATTGAGTTAATTAAAATGCACAATTAAGTTTTATTTCACTAGTGGTTTTTTCTTTTTTTTTTGGAGGCAAAGTCTCTCTCACTCTGGGTAGAGTGCTGTGGCATCATAGCTCACAGCATCCAGCTCTTGGGCTCAATCAATCCTCTTGGCTCAGCCTGTGGAGTAGCTGGGACTACAGGCACCTGGCATGATGCCAGGCTGGTTTTTCTATTTTTGATAGAAGTGTGTTCTCTTACTGAAGCTGGTCTCCAACTCCTGAGCTTAAGTGAGCCACTATGCTCTGCCTTGGCTTTTACTTTTTAATGTAGCTATTAGAGGATGTATAAATTGTTTATATGGTTTGGCTTGCATTGTTAGGTGAACAGCTTTGCCCTAGAAAATTAAAATTTATTTTAGCTAGGTTATTAGTATTTTATTGTGCCAAATGAAGCCTTAATTGCCATTGTTGTTTTACTATAGGGGAGTGTTGCAGTCTCTCATTGAAAAGCATTTCCCTGCTCCAGACAGGAAAAAGCTTTATAGTTTGCTGGGAATTGATTTGACGGCTCCAAGTAACAATAGTTCACCAAGAGATAGTCCTTGCAAAGAAAATAAAATAAAGAAGCGAAAAGGTAAATACTTCTACAAAATTAGCTAATATTGAAAATATCATAAATTAGAGTATTTTAAAGTGGCTGGATTTTGAAAGTAAACTACCTTTCTCAAAGTGACAAGTGGTTGTATATTTTCACTGTTGCTGCTGTAGTTTTGAATGCACAAGTTAACCCTTGTTTTAAATTAGGACTCAAACAATTCCCTGGTGCTAGGCACTACATTAAGTCCATGCCCATGCATTCTGTCATTTAACCCCCCCAGATGTCAATAGGAAATTAAGTATTCCAGTTTTATGGAAGTGGACACTAAAAATAAAGCACAGAAAGATAGAAAGGTTAAGGAATTTTCCCATACTCATACAAATAGTGGATGAATGATGCATAGGAACTGAAATCTCTGTCTTTCTGTTTTCAGAGCTGCCTTGTTAATGTATTAACATATACATGGTCTATAACTAGGTGGCTGGGAATGGTGATTTGTGTCTATAATCAGAGTACTTTGGGAGGCTGAGACAAGGGAGTTTGAGATTGCAATGTGTTGTGATCACACTGCTGCTCTTCAGCCTGGGTGACAGAGTGAGACATTGTCTCTTAAAAAAGAAGGAACCTGGCTCGGCACCTGTGGCTCAAGTGGCTAAGGCGTCAGCCACATACACCTAAGGTGGCGGGTTCAAATCCAGTCTGGGCCCGCCAAACAACAATGATGGCTGCAACCAAAAAAAAAAATAGCCAGGCGTTGTGATGGGCTCCTGTGGTCCCAGCAACTTGGGAGGCAGAGGCAGGAGACTCCCTTGAGCCCAGGAATTGGAGGTTGCTGTGAGCTATGCCGTGGCACTCTACCCAGGGGGACAGCTTGAGGCTCTGTCTCAAAAAAAAAAAAAAAAGGAATCGAGCATTTTAAGAACAGTTTTGTTTAAAGCTCTTGTTTTTATTTAAATTATTAGTAATACACACACCTATGTTTGTTAAATAAATTAATAATACGAACCCGAGTTTGTGTTTAGGTACTTTTTTTTTTATTTTTCTCTCCTGTGGGTGTATAGTTGTTTGTTGTGTGTGTGTTTGTTTGTTGGTTTCATATTAGTATTGAGTACCTTAGATACTTATGTTTCCATTCTTACAACACTTTACTAAGAGGAATGTTTTAACTCCATCCAGGGAAATACAAATGATGTAAAGTTTTCATCTTTTCCATGGTATACATTTGCCATAGTTTATTAATCAAATCATGTGTTGCTGGACACTTGGGTTGATTCTACAACTTGGTGATTTTGAATGATGAGCTACGATAAACATTTCTAGTCCTAATAACCTTATGGTAAAATGACTTTTTTTCTTCTGGGTAGATACTTAGTAGTGGAATTGCAGGATCAAATGGAAAGTCTACATTTAGCAATTTTGAGGAGTCTCTGTACTTCTTTCCATAGAGGCTGTATTAGTTTGCAATCCCACCAGCAGTATAAAAGTATTCCTTTCTCTCCACATCTATGCCAGCATTTGTAGCTTTGATATGATGTGGACTTTTCCCACTGGGGTTAGGTAATATCTCAGAATGGTTTTGATTTGCATTTCTCTGACATTTAGGGGGATACACATTTTTTTTTGGCCATTTGTCTGTCTTCTTCAGATAAGTTTCTGTTTAGGTCTCTTGCCCACTGATAAATGAGATTGTTGGCTCTTACTGACTAATGTGAGTTCTCTTTAGATCCTAGTTATTAGTCTTTTGTCACATTTGTAGCATGCAAATATCTTTTCCTAGTCTGAAGGTTGTTTATTTGATTTAGTTGTTGTACCCTTGGCTGTGCAAATTTTTTTTTTTTATAATTTTTTTGAGACAGAGTCTCACTCTCTTGCCCAGGCTGGACTGCAGTGATACCATTATCACTTACCACAACCTCAGAATTCTGGGTTGCAGTAACTTTAAGCAATCCTTCTGCCTTAGACTCCTGAGTAGTAGCTGGGGCTACAGTGTGTGCCACCATGTGTAGCTAATTTAAAATTTCTTTACTGTAGAGATAGGGTGTCACTCTGTTTCCCAGGCTGGGCTCAAGCATTCCTTCCCTCTTGTCCTCCTAAACTGCTGAGATGATAGGTGTGAGCCACTGCATGTTGGCCCATGGTTGGTGTGTTCCAGATACCCTTTAGGAATATTAAAATAGTTCAAACCAGCACATTGTTCACTTTTAAAGATGTGGTTTTATGAATTGTATTTTCTAAGGATTTCATGTCTCTAAACATACAAATTTATGACTTCTTTTTTTTACTATAGAAAGAATCTCTTTATGTTGGTCAGGCTAGACCTCCTGGTTCAAGGAATTCTCTTACCTCAGCCCTCCCAAGTAGCTGGGATTATAGGCATGTGCTTCTACACTTGGCTAATTTTTTTTTTTTTTTTTGCAGTTTTTGGCCAGGGCTAGGTTTGAACTTGCTGCCTCTGGCATATGAGGCTGGTGCCCTACTCCTTTGAGCCACAAGCACTGCTTTTTCATAATTTCTTTCTGTAGAGATAGGACCTATATTGGTAAAACTGGTTTCTAGCTGTTGGGCTTTAGTGGGCCTCCCAGAGTGCTGGGATTACAGGCGTGAACCACCACTCCTGGTCTGTTTAGGCCTCTTTTCACAATCTGATATATAAATTGTGACTATGCTAGGGATCCTGTTTTAACACTTTTGACTTGAATTTGTTTTGAAACTTATGCACTTGAGGGAAGTCTTGAGTTACTATTTATGTGTCTAATTTTTTCCTGAGAATAATTGAACATAATGTAATTGCTTATGATGAGTTCAAAACATTAGTGTTTGTGACTTTTGGTCTTTTTATTGAATGGTAACTATGTACATTAATGCACTTCTGGGGTACAGTGTAGGGTTTTCACATGCAATCCGAAATACTTCCATCAAACTGGTCAACACAGCCTTCATGTCATTTTCTCAGTTATTGCTTTAAAACGTTCACATTCTACTCTTAG